AGGATGATCAGCATCCAGACAGGTGAGGCAGCATTCCCACCTGGTGCACAGCTATAAATTCCAGACCTAATCCATCTCCTCTTCAGCAGCACATTGAAAGCTGTTATGGCCCTTGATCCACCTAGGAGCATCAAAGTGTTTCCTATGAATTTTTATTCATTGCCATAGATTTGCGTCGCATCACCCAAATGCCTATCAAATACTGAGTCAGTTTCTCCCAGATCTTTTACATATTTATTTATTTATTTACTCATTTGATGTTTGTGTGTGCCCCCACCGATGCCACAGCTCATGTGTGGAGGTCAGAGGGTGGCTTGCAAAAGTTGGTTCTCTTCTTCCATCATGTGGGCTCTAGGAATAGAACTCAAGTCATCGGGCTTGGCAGTAAGAGCTCTTACTAAGTCATCTTCTCAGCTCCTCCTCTTCATATTTTTTAAAGATGTATTTACTTATTTTATGTATATGAGTGCTCTATCTGCATCATGTATGACTTTATGCCAGAAGAGGGCATCACATCCCACTATAGATTGTTTTTGGTTTTTTTTTTTTAGCTACATTGTGGTTGCTGGGAATTGAACTCACGACCTCTGGAAGAGCAGCCAGTGATCTTAACCACTGAGCTATCTCTCTAGCACCCTCCTCTCGATATCTTAAGAAATTTTCATCTCACTCAACTCCCATCCTATCCAAGGACAGCCTTGTCAGAGGAGCTGCCTTCACCTTACCTAGGCCACCCTCCCTATCAGGACCCAGCGGAAACCTGGCTAGTTCAGAGGTAAAAACAACCTTGCCTCTCTTACCCCAACTCAGGACAGCTCCAAAAAGACATCAAAACACCTAGCAGGGGCAGCTTGACTGTCTTTAACATTGCATTGCAGCCAAGCTTCTTCCTCTGTCAAACCCTGACTAGTTTTCTTCCCCTCTGCACATTGATGAGAGCCCTTCTTAATGAGCACCCTATATGCAAATCTCTATCTGAAGATATACTTCCCAAAAGTCCCAGCCTGTCCCAATGATGGGACTTCTCAGCACTGTGTTAGCCAGACGTTGGCACGCAACACTCGACATACGAAGGGATAAGCAGTAGGATAGAACACATGATTTGGACTCTACTGCATTCTAACCATGGGAAATTATTGCTACCCTTAACTCATATAAAGGCTTCTAATTTTTTTTTTATTTTACAAACCTCAATTAAAAGGCAAACACACAGCTCTCACCTCAAAAAGGATAAAAAATAGTTTATTCCAGAGTCAAATATGAGTGATCATGGCCTGGGAACAGTTTTAGGGTACCCAAATTCCAGTCCAACATGGCAACAGTTTCACGGAACTTTATAGAGACAGAATGAAGGAAACCATCCACCAGGGCACGTTTTAGATACCCTGGGGGAGGGGGGGTGAGCGAGTAGGCGGTCAGAGCGGAGAAGGGAAGCTTCTGCTTTAGGAGTCCGATGCTCTCTGATGACAGTCCTAGCATTTATGTTGGTGGATGTGAGGATCCATTTACACATTCCAAAGGACTTACCTGACACTCACAGGAATGCTGTATTACATACAGAGGTGGGAACAAGGTAATTGTTTAAGGGGCTAAAGATGAACCGAGATAATTCCACTCTGAACCTGTAACAGTACAGCTTCTACACATCAGTGAAGTCCTAATAAAACATCCGTTGAAGGCACAGCTTTTTTCTGAAAATTTTCATTCATATTCCTATACCATAATCAGCCTTGATTCTTTAAAACGTCTCCACAGAAGAGGCTAAACTGTGTTTGATTTGGGTTTTTTCTTACTTGAGGTTTTTTCGGGCTCAAGTTCATAGTTTTCAGGATTTATAAGACATGTACAATCTTTTAAAATGCTTTTTTTTAGTTTTTAAATGTGAATATGTGTACATGTATAGAATTATGCATATAGGAAAAGTCACCCTTGAAGGCCAGTAGTGTGGGATCCCTCTGGGGAAGAAACTGTGCTGGGAATTGAACTTGGGTCTTTCGCAAGAACAGTGTATGTACTTTACCACTGAGCCAACTCTCTAGTCCTGTTACTACCACTACTACCATTAGTGTGTGTGTGTGTGTGTGTGTGTGTGTGTGTGTGTGTGTTTGCCATGTGTGGGGGGCTACCTACGGAAGCCAGAAGAGGGCATCAGATTCTCTGGAACTGGAGTTACAAGTGATTCTGGGACACCTAACATGGATGCTGGGAATGGAACTGAGGTCCAAAAAAAAAAAAGCAAACACTCAACACTAAGCCACCACTCCAGCACTCCATGTGTATAATGTTAATCTGTCTCTCCTTAGACTTGATGATCAAAGTCTAAGACATCTTAGATGGAAGTGAAGTAGAAGCCATCTTCCTAAGTCAACAGAAATTGCATTTGAGATGTTTCTATTCAAGCAGCCTTTCCCTGGTTCTGTCTTTAAGAAAGCTTTGTTTTTGATATTGTTAGAAGTAAGTTTAGGGTCACAAAGAAAGAAAATGCTGTCCCAGTGAAAGTGTCCGAAGCAGGCAACCGTGTGCTTGTGAGAAGAGTGCACTACTCACAGAAACGAAAGATCAAGCTCGAGAGGACAGGGCATTCTTTGGTTTTCATTGTAGCTTAGATGATGACTGTCTTTCCCCAGTGGCTGGGTCTCACCTCACAGTCTTCCTCGATTGCCTCATGTTAAAAGAATCTGTGTGAAGGAAATGAAGGAAAGCAGGACCGGGGCACTTAAGTTTGGGGATGCAGCCTGGCCTTTATGTAAACAGAAGTCTTACCTGGTGGGAGTTGGAGGTTAAACATTTGCATCAAGGTTTTATAAGGTGGGAAAAAGAAACACATTTCTATCCCTTGTGGCTACAAAATGGAAGTGTTGCAGTTTTGACAACAAGGCTAATGTTTCTTAAGATCTTACCATTTGGGAGGGAGAGAAAAACTCAACCGAGAAACCACAGAGACACAAGGATCAGAAATGTTTATACAGTCCAAGAACCAGGTAGCCCATCCAACCACAGCCTTTTCAGGAAGGGCAAAGGCCATAACTACAGCAGTTCCCAGCATGACTCGGGGAACAAGAAAGAGACAGAAGGAGAAAGGAGACTGGGACCTGAGAACTTGGGATGCTCAGCAGAATCGGGGATCCAGCACTAGTTAAGAATTGGGAGCTGACTAAACCTGTGTGAACTGTAGCTGATGGAGAGTCCTTTCTGTTACCAGGTGCAGACTGCAGGGATTGCCATGGCAACTGTCTGTCCTGGTCTGGATTGTTTTTCTTCTTGTTATGACCAGTTACCTGACAGGAAGTAACCCAAGAGAGGAAAGGCATGCCTGGTCTTATAAGGAGATACAGTCCATCGTCGCGGCAGGCGGTTCCGTTGTGGCAAAAATACACAGCTAACACTCTTTCATCTTGGCAGAACAGGGAGCAGAGAGTGAGCAGCTATGCCCAGCTATAAAACCTCAAGGCTTGTCCCTAGCGGCCCATTTCTTGCTGCTCGGCTCCACCTCCCCAGAGACTCACAACATTGTAAAACAGTGACACCAGCTGGAAACCGTGCGCCAAAACACACGAGTTTGAGGGGGACATCGCTAACCACGGCGCTGAGCAGCCATCCTTGGCCTTGCACCGTCTTCTCATCCCCACACTCAGTAAAACTATTTGGTGGGGAACCCAAAGAGGAGAGCACGCATCCCTTTAAAAGCATAATCTACCACATGCACGCAAAATCTGACTTCCCCATACCAGAAGAGCCACAACTCTCCCACACGCCACCTCCCAGGGCTTCCTATGACCACAGGGCAATGCAACCTGCTGTCCTGGTAAATTCAATACAATGCTGACGACGTTGTGGGCAAGCCATGGTTCTTCCTCCATCCTGGGGGCGGAAACGTCACAGCAGGCCCTCCCTCTGCTCCACCCACTTCTCCTGCAGGTTCTCACCGAGCCTCTCCAGCAGGTGTTTCAGTCAGTGGTGAGACAGACAGGGTGGGAGCAAACAGAAAGTCTTCCTTAGAGTCCCAGTGACGTCATGGCTAGAGAGTCAAGGATATGTTTCTTCCAGAAGGTTCACAGCCAAAATTGTTGACTGTCAATAAAGCAAAGCAGTGTGGACTTCTTTGGTTTTGCTTGGGTTTTGTTCATTTATTCATTTGTTTCGTTGTTTGTTACTGGCATATGTTAGTTCTATATCATAATAGATTTCCCTGTGACATCTCCATACATGTACATAATGCATTTCGATCTTATTCACCTCCATACCTGTCTTAATCTCCGGCTAATCCCCTCTTCCCAATTGGCCTGCTGCTATGTTAGCTCCTTTGTTGCTATTTGTATTGGGTCTGTGACCGAGGGAGTTTGTTAGGCTTATTCTTGGGAGCTCAGGTGGTGGCTGTAAGTTGTTTGTTATTGTTTGTGTGTATTCTTTCTAAAAAAGGGGCCTCCAACCCCAACTTTGCATTGCCACAAATGACCCCAAATACCTTAAGGCATGAAGAGAAATCTTGAATATATCCCCATCCTCACTTTCCTGCCTCTTAAAAACACCTTTATTGACTGCACGAGAGTTGAAATGCAGACACCACCTTTGGCAGGAGAATAAGCCTTGTCATGTCAATACATGCCCACAACTGAAGCTTCCTCAAACACTAAGCGCTGAAGCCTAAGCCTTCCAGAGGCAGGGAGGGTTTCTTCCCAGGTGGCTGCCTCCAAGCCAGCACTGCATCACCATCCAGATGTGGAAGAGATGAAAGCAAAAGAGAAGGCTGGGCGGGAGTGGAGGCCTTGAACTGCTCCAGCTGAGCCTCCATGGGCTCCTAAAAGAAGTAGAGAAGGCTGGGATCTAGAACACCAGGCATTATTTGCATGCCAAGCCCTGCCCCACCCTTCTTGAAATCCTACTAGGGAAGAACGTGGCCCCGCCTTCCTGTCAATCTCTTGATTAAATAGGCACTTCCCTCCAGGAGGCCTCTGGAGTACAGCACCTCCTACTGCTGCCAGAAGCAGCTCTGTCCCACCATGAGAGCTCTCCCTCTGCACCTGACCCCGACAGTAAGCCTTGGCTGCCTGCTCCTGCTTTCCCTCCTCCCAGACCAAGGCCAAGCCAAGGAGTTGAAGTTTGTAACGTTGGTAAGTACACTTTTCTCATTGTTCTTCCTGTTACCAGGGTCAGAGAAATTGCCAAATGCCACCTTTCATGTTTCCTTTCTGTTATCTGCCTGAGACCAGCGTTGTTCAGACTCGGAAAGTGGACAGTCATGCAAGCTGGCTTGAATGAAGACAGCATTCCCATTTGCCGTCGACGGCACTGTTTCATTACTGACTTCCCAGCTGCCCTCTGGTCTGATTCCTGCCCTCTGTGATTCCCCAGACAGGGGAAGTCACAGCTAGCGCTGTTCATCTGCGGGGAGCTAGCCTGGCTTCTTCCCATTTAATGCCCATTTGTTTTCAAATCAAAGAACAGTCACTTTTGAAGTCACTCCTTATGTTTTTCGCGACACTGGTGCATATGCTTATTGTGTATATTTGGGAGCGCAAAAGAGAAACTGAGCACAGAATTTCAGAACTATCAACTAATTTAGTTGATCATTAAAACCATGATGTCCCCTATATATAGTCACTGTAATAAGCCATGAATAAAAAAGGAGAGAGGTGTGTACTGCCTGGTGTCGGGGGGAAAATATAGACTATTGGGAGTTAGAAACATATGGAAAGAACATTCTTCAAAGTTAAAGGCATTTGCCTCCCCCACTTTTTCTCTCTCACCTTCTTTTATTTCACATCCTCCATCGCTGTTTACATTTTTTATTTAATGTAGTGAAAGTTGGCGGATTTATAAGCGTGTTTTCCTTCTGCAAGAATACTCAGAAGCTATTTTCACGATTTAGAGAAAGGGTCCCTCTCACCTAAGCCTTCAACGTGCTGTCCTCTCCTGTCAGTGAGGAAAATCCTTTGCAGAAAAATCTTTCTTGTTACATAAATCATGATGCTTAGTCTGGTAAATCTTTACCGGTTTTGAGTCAGGAAAGAAAGAGGAGAAAAACCAAGAAAACACCATCCTCGTCCTGAAAACCATTTGCCAGCTGCCAGGCTACTGTGTTGATGAAGCAATGTTCCAGACTGTACCTCCTGCGGTGCGCTTTCCCTGACATGCATGAGCTCCTTGCCAATGTGCTCATTATCAGAGTGTAGGGGGCGTGGAGTTGCCTTGGGTTCTGCTGGTCTTGTTGCACTGGGCTTGGAACCAGCTGGCTCGAAGGCAGTCTTCTCTGAGATGGCAAGTGAGCTTCAGTCAGCTTCATGCAGTGGCAGCTCGCTGAGTTCCACCCACAGCCCAGGTAGCTGCCGCTGCCGCTGCCAAATGGTTGTGGTTTCCTTCCCAACCTTTCTGCCTCTCTACTCTCAGTTCAAATATGTTCAGTGACTACCAATTAATTCTTCCTTAAAGAGAAACCAAGCTACAAAGACAACTCTCTAACAACTCAAAACTTAGCCAGTACTGCATAAAGCAAACATTAACCACACTTTCTACAGTGGTCTCTTCCTATGAATATTAAATAATGGGCAATTTGATTTATCTTCCTTGGCCCCTAACAAAACAACTTCTTTCTGATGATAAAAGTCAAAAATACCATTTTCTTCCTTTTATTAATGATACAGACTATTTGAGTGCACATAAATGGTTAGACTGAGCATTCAGAAAAATCCTTGGGAGTTTATTAAGAGAACAAGTAGCCAGGTGGTGGTGGCACATGCCTTAAATCCCAGAACTCAGGAGACAGAGGCAGATGAATTCTTTCTGAGTTCGAGGCCAGCCTGGACTACACAAGAGTGACTCAGTCTAAAAGAGAAACAGAGCTCACACCTTTGATCCCAGCACTTGGGATCCCATGCTTTTAATCCCAGCACGAGGGAGGTAGAGACAGGAGTGATATGACTGGGCAGAGAGGAATATAAAACAGGAGGAGACAGGAGCTCAGGGATTTAGTCTGAAGTTTCATAGAGACAGTGTTCAGCCTGAGGATTGGTAGCGACAGGATCTTGTTCCTTTGGTCTGAGCATTTGGAGATGTAAGAACTCTAGGGACTGGCTTCTCTGCTTCTCTGATATTTCAGCTTTCACTTCAATATCTGACTCTGGGTCTTTATCATTAAGTCCAATTTGAATTTGAGTTACAAGTTTCTGTCTCAGAAAAGCACCCAACGTATGAATAAAACAGAGACAAAAGTTGGGCAGTGGTGGCACAGGCCTTTAATCCCAGAACTCAGGAGGCAGAGGCAGGCAGATCTCTGTGAGTTCAAGGCCAGCCTGGTCTACAAGAGCAAGTTCCAGGACAGGCTCTAAAGCTACAGAGAAATCCTGTCAGAGAGAGAGAGAGAGAGAGAGAGAGAGAGAGACAGAACAAATAGAAGATGATAAGGTGTGGTGGCACACACCTTTAATCCCAGCACTTGAAAGGCAGAGACAGGCGGTTCTCTGTGAGTTTGAGACCAACCTGGTCAATATAGTGAGTTCTAAGTAGTACATAACCCAAATCTAGTAACCCCATTACTCAGGAGGTAAAGGCAGCAGGATCAGAATTGCAAGGTTATCTTAAAAGCTAGTGCAAGACCAGCCTGTCCTACATGAGATCCTGTAAAACAAAAATAAAACAACAGCAAAATCCCACCCACAAACTTCTTGTTCCTGCTTTCAAGATGAAGATACAAGCGAAAGAGTTTAGGAAGCTGGATGGAGGTCACATGGGTAGAAAGGTAGCCTCAAACTCATTGTGTGAGCCTTTGACTTTGCCCCTGATCACTAGATTCCAGCTATCTCTGTTTATTGCACATAGCCCAGAACCTGGAGCTGATCTGAGCCAACTGCACAGTTTGTAACATTACTCTGACTTGGAGGCTGGAGATGGTTTCCTTGTTTTTACTCCATAATCCAAGAAAAATAAATCCTCAATTCTGAAAAGCTATTTGTGGGGAAAAAAGAGGAGACTGCCTTTGGTTCTTGTTCTTGCTGGTGAACAAACCCATGATTTGTTTGTTTGTTTGTTTATGTAGTGCCAGGGACTGAGTCCAAGGTCTCAGGCATAAATCCAAAGCCTCATATATGCCAGACAAGCAGCCAAGAAGGAGTACATGCTCAGCCCACTACTACATTGGACACATAAACATCATACACACACACACACACACACACACACACACACACACACCATGGAACACATGTAAAGTCAGAGGACAGTTTAGGGGAGTTGATCTCTCCTTTCAACACTGAATACCAGGGATTAAAGTCAAGGAATCAGGCTTGAATAGCAAGCCCTTTTTACCTACTTAACCATTCGCCAGTCCTACGTGATCTGTTTATGCAGCCCTAGCTGTCCTGGAATTTGCTCTGTAGACCAGGCTGGCCTTGAACTCAGAGATCCACCTGTCTCTGCCTCCCAAGTGTTGGAATTAAAGACGTGAACCACCACTTCCCAGCTAATTTACATGATCTTTATAACAAACTTACAAAAGTATTTCCTGTGAAATTGTGGTTTGACCACTTATTAACAGTTGGATGAAAAAAAAAAAAGGAAGAAGTTAAGTCTAATACAGGTTTACATGTTTTAAAAGGCTTTCTTTAAACCGTTGAATGAAATACATCTTCAACAAGCACTATGGATTTCAAGGAAGGAATCTATGAAGTGAACTGCTTCTTGGCAAGACTATGCGCCCACCTCCCTAGACTGTCTGTGAAGAATTGGTATTTTTAACTTTTGTAGAGAGAGGAGAGTACGTTTGCTGAGTCTCAGCGTATGCTTTGGTAATGATCACTCAGCGCCAGTCTTGCTTAGCTGTGTACCTGCTTATTTTCCCCACACGCTCACTTGCTTTCTTTTTACAATAATCTCACGCACCGTATTACCCCACCAGAAAGAGAGGATGCCATTGTAAAGCATCTCTCTCTCTAGCAAGGGGAAAACCACAAGTCAGGTGATCTCAGACAGACAAAAATTCTGGGTTGCTCTTCTGGCTGTTTCTAAAGAAAGGGATGATGACTCACAACACAGCACCTCCTTGTATTCTTCAGGGTTGACCTGATTTCTGCAGTAGTGCCTGAGTCACAGCGTATTCTTGGCTCAAAGCGCCTCCAAGCCCTGTGCACATTGCCTCTTCAGTGGGATGGTAACCTAGTCAAGCTTGGCCCTGCACATGATGCTAGCCATTGCTTATTTCCAGGACCACCCATCTTCTTCACGCCCACGCCTCAAGGATTAGCAGCCAATCCCATGATTAGTTTTCTAGTGCTTTTTCATTAGAACTGCAGCTGAAAGTGATACCTAAAAAAAGCACAGAATTTTTTGCTAACTCAATTCCACTAATGTTTGTTAACCAGATCTGGGAGCAGAAACAGGCCATTAATGAAAACAACTGAGTTTCAAGTTCCCTAAACTTAAAGCTGACGATCGCAACCACGGCTAAGCTTCCACTTTCACGGGTCATCTTCAGGATCCAGTGACATGATTTAGTCATGAAGTGTGAAAGGGGCCAACATGAAGTGCTGCTTGGAGTCATGTAGACGGACTTTTCTTTAGGCCTCCAGCTCATAAAACATGACACAGAGACTTGTTATTAATTATGAAAGCTTAGGTTTGTCCCATTAGCTCTTAGAACTTAAATTAACCCATTTCTATTAACCTACGTGTTGGCATGTGACTCATGGATTTTACCTCTCCTCCTGCATGTCTGTTCCTTCTGTCTCTACTGGTGACTCCTCTGTTCTTCTTTCCAGATCTCTCTTGCCCCCAGAAGTCCCACCTTAACCTCTTCCTGACCAGCTAATGGCCATGCAGCTCTTTATTAAACCAATCACAACGACACATCTTCACACAGAGTAAAGGGATATATTATTCCACAACAGAGTCGCCATCTAAAATGGAAGGTTTCTAACGTTTTTGGTTAAATTGTAGATGATCTCTAGTTAATTTTAAAGTTTATGGTCTTAACCATCTTAAGAATAGGCTTCGATGGTGTAAGTGTATTCACAGGCTTCCACATCACCATGAAGCTCTGGAACTTTTTTTCAAAACTGAAACTTCATACCCATTACCTGGTGGCTCCTCGTTTGGCCCTTCCCATCTGGGCCTGTCCAAC